ATAAAGTGACCTTGGCCACAGCATTCATTACAACAGAAACGTTGCCTATCAGTAGCCACTATGCTAACCTTTGTCACACAGATCCAAATGGCATCATATTGGGTGGCCTCTTGTGATTCTGTGCAAGAGTGACATGCTATTATGCATAATCTGAGCTTATTCCTTTTTTATTAACACATAATGTTCCATTGTATGAATCTACCCTCAAAGTACTTGTCCACTGGTCCATGCAATGTTGTATGAACACTAGGGTTGCTTCTATTCTTGACTAACTTAAAGATAACTACATTAAACAATCCGCTAACTGTCTCCAAAGCATCGGCGTCCACATTCAGCTTGAGTACAAACCTGGGAGGAGGCCTATTGGCTGTGAGGATGGGTCTTTGCTTTTATTATTTCTCCACCAGAGCATCTCTGGTTTGGTTGTACTAGTTGTCACCCCCACCAGTGCAAAGTCCCAGGAACTTTCTACTCACTGGGGCAGTTAGGCATTCCTTTAGCCAAAACATCTTCCTGTCCCAGAAACTTGAAGATACCCTGAGGTCTACTGAATTCTCCAGCCTTTTCTGACATTTTCTCCCTAGCTCAGCTATAGTTCGTATCACCCCTAGTAGAAGCATGTGCTTCCTGCTGGTTCTTTGACAGTCTAAATCTCTCCAGGACAGGGGCAGTATCATCCATTCTTCAATCTCTGTGTTTGCCACAGAACCTGGCTGAAGCAGTATTTGATAAGAGGGATGATCAGTCAGCAATCCATGTTTTTAAGAGCTAAAACCAACTTACCTGGTAGAACTTGGTACATATCTCATCAGTGACAAAATTCTCCAGTGATGTAAACCCACTTCCATAGCTGTTATACATAGGAAAATTGCCTGAAGTTCTGAGCCCCTCCCAGACACTAGGAAATATACAAAGAAGCAAGTTTTCTGCCAGGAGCACCCTGCGTGGCACCTAAGCTCAGAGAGAGCCAATGCTAGTTTCTTCCCTCTGGCCACCATTTTGCCATGATCACAGCAAATAGCACTTAGTTTGTTTTTCAACATTTGCCAAGACCAACAGCATCCCCTGGTGAAGGCTTGGTGGATGCAGATACTGTGCCTGCCCAGCTTTGCCTCTGCCTCAGGATTTCCCAGCAGTGACCTCCTAGTCCAAGTACACATGCCAAGAGGAGAATCACCCCGGAGAAGCGATATGGGATTTCTCTAAGAGAGATGTGTACAGAAAGATGGGCATCTTTGTAGTGGGGGGTTGAGAATCCACTGCTAGGTTAAAATAACCAGGGTATCTATATGGATAATTGTAACTGCCAGCTATTAAGTCAAAAAGCCCATCTTTCAGGCAAATATTTGGCTTTCATGGAACTTCTATAAAATGATTATGCTGGTAGACAGACATCGGCAGCCTGGGCTGTGAGCAATTTATGAGTGTTTCTTGATGCAGAGACTGTTACGAATGCAAAAATAAATAAATAGTAAATAATAAATAAATATTTAAAAAAGACATCCAATGTTGAAAAAGTGGTGCTGGAGGAACATACCTAGGGAAATAGGACCAATATAATTTCAATATTACCAGTTTCTCTCTCTCTCTCTCTCTCTCTCTCTCTCTCTCTCTCTCTCTCTCTCTCTCTCTGTGTGTGTGTGTGTGTGTGTGTGTGTGTGTGTGTGGTTGTGTGCATGCTTGTGTATGAATACAGGTGCAATAGCACATGTGTGGATGTTAGAGAAAAAATCTAAGTGCCAGTCCTTAGTTTCTGCTTCCTCTGAGACAATCTTATTCGTTACTGCAGCCACCAGGCTAGCTGACCCACCCACTTCCAGGGATTCCTTTCTTCGCTTCCCATCTTTTCCACAGGAATCCCGGGGTTACAGATACAAATTGATACATCTAGCTTTGTGTGGGTGTTAGGGATCTTAACTTGGGTCCTCGTGCTTGTGTGGTAAGTGTTTTATCTACTGAACCATCTCCCCATTCACTCACTGGGGCATCTCCAAGTCATAGCAGCCTGGGGGAGTACAGTTCCATTACTGGTGCATTTTGCTGCTCTGGTCTGGCTTTTTGATGCATTTTCTATACTGGCTCCTAGACCCTTTACCTTTCAGTTGTCCCTATGTTAACCATATGTAGGCTACTAAACAAATATCCCTGGCAAGCAACTTGGCTCTCTGTTCCATCTTCTCCAAGACACACACACACACACACACACACACACACACACACACACACCAGGAAGGACTGATAGTGAGCTGTGCACTGATTCATGACCCCAGGCAGCCTGTCTTGTTTCCAGATGGCCCTCTGGAATTTCAGCGAAGATAGTCCTTATGGGGCTGCAGCTGGAACGGCTGATTACTGTGGGAATCTGAATGTTCATGTTTACTCTATATCTTGAACTACCAGAGACAGAAACTCCTGTGTGGACAGGCCTTTGTATATTCCAGCTGCTGGAGAGGGTTCATGCCATTCGGGCAGATTCCTGGGCATCTTCTGCAGAGGAGAGACAGGCTGAGAAGGGCAGGAGGAGGGCCAGCAAGGGAGCAAGGAGGTTTCACCCATAACTCCAGTGAGTCCTTGACATCAAGCAGCGTCTACATAAAACAGAGTGGAGAGACAGCTGGGAGGGAAGTGAGTGGAGTAACAGGTGTCTGATTTGGGGCTCAAGGACAGTTGGAGTGCGGGGGATTGAAAATGGAGTGTTTGGAGGAGCTGGGTATAAAGTTACTGAGTGCTATAGTTTGAAGAACTGGGAGGGAGCATCGAACTTCCTATCAATTTCTCTGTCCCTCCAGAGGCTCGAGCCCTCCAATAGGAGATCAATGCAGGAGGCTGCCTCATGCCTGCCCAGCCACATCCATGACCTCCCATGAGCACTCTGTGAAAGCAGCAGGTCAGACACACCAGGAGGAAGCACAGGCGTAGGCTGCGCTCCATTCAGCAGCAATGTAGCTGAGCAGTTCTTCCTGTCTGTGCAGCTACTTCCTGTCCTGAAGCAAAGGAAAGCTTGCATTCTCAGGAAGCCCGGGCTAGCAAAAACAGCTTCCTGTTTCTAAGACCAAACCGGACCACCCAAAGCTGAAGCCCGTGTCAACTACTCAGCAGCCGCAACACAGGATCGCCAATAAAGGCTCACTTGTTTATTTTAAATTCTTGTAAGCCGGTGGACAGTGCCTGAATTCATAAGTACAGACATGGATGGAGGAGTTTGTGCAGGTGACATTATTTAATAAAGTAACTATTAGGGAAATTAGGAAAACTTTTGAAAGATGTAACCAAGTCAAGGAAAGCCAAACTTTCCTGAAAGAGTGGCATGCAGTCACGCTAATCAGAGAAGGAAAGGAAGCAACATTTAAACCAATGAGGACAATAGATTGTGTAGACTGCCATTCTCTGTCTGTCTGTCTCTCATTCCCTCCCTTCTTCCTTTTCTCCCTCCAGCTGTATAAATAACTGACTATAAAAATCATAGAAAACACAGAAAAACATTCACACTGCTTATTTTGGGTTGACAGAATTTTGGGCAACTTTTGTTTCATATTAAAATTTCCTCCAGTGACAAAGTTTTTTAAAAATATTTTTTCGTTAGCTTTCACGGTGTACTAAGCAACCCAGAAACTGTATGACTTAAAATGAGAAATATCAGCCAGGCGTGATGGCGCATGCTTTTAATCCCAGCATCAGGGAGGAAGAAGCAGGTGGATCTCTGAAAGTTCCAGGCCAGCCTGATTTACAAGGCAAAATCCAGGACATCCAGGGTTGTAACATGGAGAAAAACTATCTCTAAAAACAAAAAACAAATAAATGAAAACAAAACAAAAAACAAAAACAAAAAACCCAACCAACCAAAACAAAACAATGAGAGACCTTTTTAGGATTGAGGGGGTTGTTGGGGTTGCATTGGGGTCTACGGAGGCTTGGTGGTGGGTCATGTGGTTAGTTGACAGTCAGGCTGGGTCAGGAGAGAGGCCATGCTCACCTTTATGTTAAGCAGCAGGTCGGCTGGTCTATGGACTTGATCTGGGACGAGTATCTGTATTTCTCATATTCATTCTGGGCCAGCCCAGGTCTCAGCCCCTGGCGGCCCCTGGAATCCAAATAAACAGAAAAGGAGGGTAAACCCTGAGGTGACAGCATCACATTTTCTCACGCCCACTACCCAGAGATAGTTTATGGCAAACCAGGACGAGTGGGCAGAGAGGGAAACACTGCCTCTGCGTGGTGGGAGCTACCGCTACCCACAGAGCGCTGGCAAAGGTGGGAGGATGTAGTTACGCAGAATAGCATGCCAGGCCTTTGAAATCAGAAAGAGGAGGTTCATTTTGAAGAACAAAACTAGAACTTATTTTTGCCAACAGATTTGGAATTGTGGTAAAGAGCTGCAAGAGGCCAGAGTTTCTACCAAAATGAGATGTGACGGGCCAAGACTGGCTGTGTAATTAACACTTAGAGACTAAAAGGTGGCAGAGACTTTTTGCCCATACTAAAATTGGCTGATTTTTTGATGGCATTTTAAAATGTATTAAGACCTGACTGCTTGTTGCAGCTGGGAGCTGGGTCTGTGTTAGAATCTTGTTTCATTGTAGCAACAAAATGCCTGACAAAGTCACCTTAAGGAAGGGAGGAAGGGAGATGTCTTAGGGTTTCTAGTGCTGTGAAGAGACACCATGACCTTGGCAACTCTTATAAAGGAAAATACTTACTTGGGGTAGCTCTCGTACAGTTTCAGAGGTTCAGTCCATTATCATCATGACTGGGAGTATGGCAGCATGCAGGCAGATGTTGAGCTGGAATAGTAGCTGAGAGTCCTACAACTTACAGGCAACAGGAAATCACTATCATACTGGGCGGTACCCTGAGCGTAGAGAACCTTGAAACCCACCTCCACAGTGACACATGTCCTCCAACAAGGTCACACCCACTCCAACAAAGCCACACCTCCCAATAGTGCCTATGAGATTATGGGGGCCAACTGCATGCAAACTACCACAGGAGGGTTTATTTTCTTATAGTTTGAGGGTGCAGTCCATTGTGATAAGGGAAGGCATGGCATCACACATGTGACACAGCTGGGCAGCACACGTGACACAGCTGGGCAGCACACGGATGACACAGCTGGGCATCACACATGTGACACAGCTGGGCAGCACACGTGACACAGCTGGGCAGCACACGTGACACAGCTGGGCAGCACACGTGTGACACAGATGGGCAGCACACACGTGTGACACAGATGGGCAGAACACGGTGACACAGATGGGCAGCACACGGTGACACAGATGGGCAGCACACGGTGACACAGCTGTGTAGCACACGTGACACAGCTGGGCAGCACACGTGACACAGCTGGGCAGCACACGTGACACAGCTGGGCAGCACACGTGACACAGCTGGGCAGCACATGTGTGAACAGATGGGCAGCACACACGTGTGACACAGATGGGCAGCACATGGATGACACAGCTGGGCAGCACACATGTGACACAGCTGGGCATCACACATGTGACACAGCTGGGCATCACACGTGTGACACAGCTGGGCAGCACACGTGTGACACAGATGGGCAGCACACGTGACACAGATGGGCAGCACACGGTGACACAGATGGGCAGCACACGGTGACACGGATGGGCAGCACACGGTGACACAGATGGGCAGCACATGGTGACACAGCTGGGCAGCACACGGTGACACAGCTGGGCAGCACACGGTGACACAGATGGGCAGAACACGTGTGACACAGCTGGGCAGCACACGTGATACAGATGGGCAGCACACGTGACACAGATGGGCAGCACACGGTGACACAGATGGGCAGCACACGGTGACACACATGGGCAGCACACGGTGACACAGATGGGCAGAACACGTGTGACACAGCTGGGCAGCACACGTGATACAGATGGGCAGCACACGTGACACAGATGGGCAGGACAAGTGACACAGATGGGCAGCACACGGTGACACAGATGGGCAGAACACGTGACACACATGGGTAGCACACGTGACACACATGGGCAGCACACGGTGACACAGATGGGCACAACACGTGACACACATGGGTAGCACACGTGACACACATGGGCAGCACACGTGATACAGATGGGCAGGACACGGTGACACAGATGGGCAGCACACGTGTGACACAGATGGGCAGAACACGTGACACAGATGGGCAGCACACGTGTGACACAGATGGGCAGCACACATGACACAGATGGGCAGCACACGTGTGACACAGATGGACAGCACACGTGACACAGCTGGGCAGAACACGTGACACAGCTGGGCAGCACACGTGTGACACAGCTGGGCAGAACACGTGACACAGATGGGCAGGACACGTGTGACACACATGGGCAGCACACGGTGACACAGCTGGGCAGAACACGTGACACAGACGGGCAGGACACGTGACACAGATGGGCAGCACACGTGACGCACATGGCAACACACTGCATCCACAGTCAGGAAGCAGAGGGAAAGATGAGTGCTGGTGTTTAGTTTCCTTTTCCTTTTTATGTCATCCGGGACCCCAGGACACTGGATGGTGCCACTCACGCCAAGGGTGGGTCTCTCCTGCACCTTTAACCTCGTCTAGAAACTCCCCAGAGACATGCCAGGGACAGCCCAGAGGTTTGTTTCCATAGAGACCCGACGTCCTGTCAGACTGACAGACAAGATTAACATTAAAGAGAAAAAAGAAGGCAGAGGAATCAGGCACATTTGGGAAACTGAGGCAGGTAGAATGTCAGTGTCCGAAGGACCTAGTGCCACATTGTTGGCCTGCTATAGAGAGACGGACCTTGGACCAATGGCTGAAAGTGACTAATAAAAGGTTAAAAGCATCCTTCCGTGGACACTGACGAGGAGGTAGAGATCAAGGGGACCACAGCCCAAGCGTGGCCAGCATGGGGCCGCTCCTACACTGCAGAAGGAAAGGTACCCTTGCTTCTCCTGACACCAGAATTTTCAGCCAGCGAGGCCAGGCTTCTGCGCCACAGCCCTACACCACGGTCAGTCTGTGTGGTTTCACGCGGTGACAATCTACATACAGGCTGCGGCAGTAGACAATGAGATCAAAGCTCAGAATAAAACTTTTCAAAATGGCCTGAAGACATAAAGAAAACCCTACCTATATACCTGTAGTCACAATGGAGTTCATATTTGAAAACAAACACTGTCCAAATACCTTAGAGGGACTGGGATTTGTTCTCTATTTTGTTGTTTAGAGACAGGGAGGGTTGCCTCTCCTGTGGACCAGGCTGGCCTTGAGTTTGAGGGAATCTTCCTCTGCCTCCCAAGTGCTCAGATTATAGACATGAGCCGCCATGCCCAGCCTTGGATTTTATTTATTTATTTATTTTAATCACTGATTTCTTCTTGTTTTTAGAGAACAGACCTGGACAGCTTCCCAGGCCAATAGATTTTTTTTTTCCTGTCCCTGAAAGGAGAGAATTTTAATCAGGTGGTAGAAATACTTACATGAAGGTCACATGGGGTCTGTGAACTTAATAGCAAGGGCCAGGACACAAGAGCTAGAAGAGACTAGTGGGTGTTTATTTAGCCTTGCGGATGCTATCCTGGCTGTTCCGGCAGGAGGAGGCAGGAGCTGAGCAATACTGGCTGTAGCACCTCTACCCTCAATGGCTGCTCCCCGGGCAGGACAGGTTCACCCTTCTAGACGGAATGGGACAGTAGCTTTCAAAACGTCCTCTTGTCTTGTTCTGATAGTTTCCTTCAGTGGATTCCATTGTGACAAATGACTAAGAACTTCTCTTTGAAGGATGTGGCCAACCATCCCACCAGGCAAGAGCGAGCAGCTTCCAACACCAGAAAAGCTCAGGGTAAGGATAATGGTTCCTGTAGTTGGTACCTTGCTGTCTCCATGGAAATATGGAGACCGCTCTAACCATCTACAACCACCTGCCGGGTACGGAAATTGTCTGACAAAGAAAACGCCCATTTCCTCGTCACCAGCGCCTAAGCGAGCCTTCTAAGGCAGGCCAAAGAAGTCTACGTGTCAACTGCACACAATGGACTCCAAGCCACGGGGGGCTTTGTGCTCTGGGTTTTCTTTAAAAACTCAAATTCTCAGCAGCTGCTTTGATGGGCAGCAGACAGTTGGACGGGGATTTTGTTTTCATCCCCTGGGACCCAGCTAGCACAAATGCCCCCTGCCAGCTCTCTGGGCAGCCCCCTGAGCCCATCTCTTCCAGGATGACCACAGTTCGTCCCTGGAGTCCATTCTGGTTAGCTCTTTCCCACGCAGCAGATAGGGACAGCATGAGCTCTCTCTGCTCACATTTATTCCAGGACTGCACATCCAGAAATAATTAGATAATTCCTACTTTTGACTCCAGTCTGGGGGATGAGCCACGTTGAGCAACTGGGAGGCCGACTGTGTGCTGGGCTTTCTCTGGGGCCACAGCGTCTCCAGACCCTAGCCTGAAACCAGAGACTTCTTTGTCTCAGCCTCTAGCCCGGTCTGCACCTTCTAATCCACGCCTAATTCCACCTGGGTGCTCTGTCTGCTGCCCTTTAAGACATCAAAGCACAGTTGCTCTCGCCAACATAATGGCCGTCTTTGTTATTCCCGCACGACTGGACTCTCTGAAATGTCACTTCCTGGCAGATCTCATTTGGTACAAGTGAAATGGATTTGAAAGTTAATAAGTGCATTTGGACGTGTGTTCCCGGGGAGCTGGTCTCTCTGCCTTCTGTGGGCTCACCTCTGCAGACACCGTGGCTCAATATTATAGAGGGAAGACTTGCAAATCCTGGCAGGGTTTTTTTTGCCTTTTGCTCAATCTTTCCCATCTGAATTTAGGGAGGGAGACATCCCTGGGCCTTTCTACTGCTGTGATTCTCTACTTGGCATTGAGAATATCTCTGTTTTTAATGTTTTTCATGCAGCAGCTATGGTTATATGAACCTCCTGCCGCCCCCCCCCCCCCCCCCAAGATTAAAGGCAACCAACTTCACATCTTGGACTGCTCCCCCACCCCAGAATGATGTGACGGGGTTAATTTTTGTACCTTGTGGGCATAGGCTCCATCTGTTCAGAAACGACAGCCTGGCCCCCTGGTCACCCAACGAAGAAAGTTGACTAGCCTGTCACCCTTTTGAGGTCATTCATTGCTGTACCAGGAAACATTCTTGTATACAGAACTGCCGAACCCACCTACCACCCACCTGTGCCCCTCTGCTCGTGACTCAGGGTGACCATTGTTCCCTATACCTCTACCCCAAAAGAGGCCTAATCTTGCATGTCATTAAGACAACCTTGGAAAGAAGCCTGAAAGGAAACACTGAAGATGATGTGGGTTTCAAGCAGATGGACCATGAAGCCATGAGTGTTCCACGGCTGAAAATGAATCTGTTTTTTAAGGCCAGGGGCCACAAACACTGGAAAGTGCTCTTTCTGGGTGGTTCTCATGATCAGAGTGCTTGTGACTCCAGTCTACTGTCAACTGGCCTCCCCAGGGACCTTCCTGCTCTAGGTATGATGGCCCACGAGTCTATCCTGGAGCTCTTAACCCCAGGCTTAGCTTGGGTGGCAGATAGATTTGTTGCAGTGCAAACTGATCTTTGGGACAGCTTCCAGGAATAAGAATCCAGGGTTCCTTCAGGACTTCACAAGGGCTTGATAAGAGGAAAATCAGTCACTGGCCATAGTGGGTGGAGAGAAGCCACGTCTCTACTCAGCTCCTAGCTTCCTTCCTGAGGTTACCTTATTCTGTGCTCACTGTCCCTGTTAGTGGGGCCCCTGAGCCCCAAGGCTTTTGGGGGGGGGCAGAGCTTACCAACAGGAAAGGTGAACCTCATTTAATAATAATATAAAAGGGTCCCATGCTGGGAGGCTAACTCAAGGGCTCCATTAAACCATGCTAGGATGGCTCCCTCCACACACCCCTGCAGCCCATCCCTGATCTGACTTTGGGGAGCTCTTCAGGAGTACAGGTAGACAAAGTTTCTCTAAAGGGGGTGGTAGCTGTCACAACCTTTCAGCTATTCCTTGAGACATTTGGCTTAGTCACGCTTTTCTGTCTAAAACAACCCTGTGAGCACATTTTGCTCATAATGCCCTTTTAAAATTTTAGAATAGTTTTTCAGACTACAGGTCTGGAAATATAGTTATGAGTACAAAGCAGGTGTAGAAATTTAAATGTTACATATGTACTCTTAAATTGGTTTCGAAAGGGTTGTATCATCTTATTATCTAGCTAGTAATTTCAATGTTACTGCAAAATGTTGAGAGACTTAGCAGTGGGATTTACTTCTTCAACTTATATAAGCTGCTATTTGTACCTAATTACGATGGTAGACAGTTTGGAAAAATACAAGGGAGGGGCGGAGAAAATAAAAATACCTCGTGAAGGTCTTGAGGTCTTGAGGGCTAGAGGATGTGCTTTCTGTAAACTACTCCCAAATAGTTAAGGAAGATAATATATATAATTTGCACAATACACAGGATATTGCATAAATATCATGTTTCTCATATGTAAATGTGGGGGCTGGGGATATGGCTGTCTGTTCAGATCATGGACCACTCTTCTAGAAGACCGAGTTCCATTTGCAGCACCCATCTCTGGCGGCTCAGAAGTGTCTACAATTCCAGGTCCAAGTGATTTGAGGCCCTCTTCTGGCCTTCCTGGGCTCA